TTGCCGTCTATGAGAACCTTGTATGCCAAGTCTTCTGTAAGCCCAGAGTATTTATCCCAAAACCTAGGTCATTTGTGAAGCTTCCTTTTGTTTTCAGAAATAACATTCTATTCAGTTGTTAAGATTCCCTAACATTTAAATATTTGCTATTAATTTTATGTTTGCTATGCATACCCAAGCAATCCTGTATGATAGGTACTATGATGGTCTTCATTTTTCCAGTTTCTAATCATTACACTCTTTCCATCACTGCTGCTGAAATTATATTAAAATAAGAGAACCATGTTCCTTTGTAGAAAAGTACTGTGAGGGTGTTCCCAAGCCACCCTGTATGGGTGTGCCTAAAATGGGCTGGAGGATGGTGGTGATGGTACTTAACAATGAGTGTTCTTAATGCCACCAAACTACATTTAATGGTTAAAATGGTAAATTTTGTTAGGTATATCCTATCACAATTTAAAAGTAAGACTGGCTTGCCTATTACAGTATTGGTGTCCTATTTAACACTTCCTTTTAAAACACCTTTAGCTTTCCTTCTCCCAGAGATTGCCATTGAGGAAGCAGTTCTGGTGACATATAATTCCTGCATATTTACAAATCAGAATGGTTTTTAGTCTCCATTAAAAGAAAGAAATTTTCCTATTGTGGTTCAGATGACGAGTTCCAGTTATTGCAGAGAAACTTCATGGACAAATACTACCAGGAGTTTGAAGACACGGAAGAGAATAAACTCACTTACACACCCATTTTTAATGAATATGTAAGTGGATTTCTATTTTTCTTACTGGAAATTAGGATTTAAAATGTGAACTTAGAATCAAAAGATGTTGACATTTGCTCAACTTTGAAAACCTGCCCCCAGTGTCATGCCAGGATATGGTTTAGTTCTCATCCCTTTGTTTTCCTCCACATAGTTCTTGGGGTTCTTTTCCAAATGTTCGATAATTTTGTCAACTTCTACTTTAAAAGATGTTTGGCTTTATCATAATCCTTCTTTCAGTTATAAAGTGAGTTCACCATACTTTGGATTTATATTCTTTTGGCCTTTTGACTGTCGCTCTTCTTTTTCTACCACATAGTCCAGTCAGGTATGCGTGATTGTTAGATGGAAGTGAAATCCAAGATCAAGCTCACTAACCAGGGGCCAAACCAAGACTAGAACCCAGGATCCTCAGCTCTTGACCCCCAGGTCTTATCACTATGCCACGGCCTCGTGCCACCTCCTCATGGTCTCATCTGAGAAAATGTTTGAGCCTCCAGAACGTTCTCAACACGGAAACATGGCATAGTTCAGGAAGGTTCCTCAAGCCAAGCCTCAACTTAAAAGGAACCTGTCATCACCTCCAGCTATTCTTTTTGTACAATTCCATCTACCCAGGACACAAAGCCCCCACTTGCTGCGTTCCTCACTGCCACGGGGAGCGGGAGCCCTGCTGCTCCCGGTCTCTGCCTGCCCACGAGCATTCACCTCGTTACAGTATGATCACCTGCAACTGCCTGTCGCCCGCCGTGGGCCAGCTCGCATACTCACAGGACAGGAACTGTGTTTTGGTTCTTTGGTATCCCCAGCCCTCAGCATGGAGCGTGGCACATAGAATAGGCTCTTGGGAACTGTTCATGAAAGGCTGGAGGACAGGCTTTCTGAGAAGATGTCTTATTCTCCTCAAGTGTGGCCTGAGCAAGATGTTTTCCACGGTTGCAGATCTCCTTGGTAGAGAAGTACATCGAAGAGCAGCTGCTGGAGCGGATTCCTGGATTTAACATGGAGGTTTTCACAACAACTTTACAGTGAGTTGGGTTTGACTGTGTTGTTTTGCCTTTTTTCCACCTTTCTCTTCCTCACTCTTCGTCAGTGCTCGCACACGAAGGTTTAGAGCACTTGGTGGTTAGGTCCTGGGCGGGAGGCCTTCGAAACCTTTGAATGTAATCTTGAAGAGAGAGAGTCTGTCATCATTCATGGAACAGCCATCCTTTTCTTTTGTAGGCACCATAAAGATGAAGTCGCTGGTGACATATTTGACATGCTGCTCACGTTCACAGATTTTCTGGCTTTTAAAGAAATGTTTCTGGACTATAGAGCAGTAAGTCACTCTTGCCTAGTTAGTTAGCCACACTGAACCACTTAAAAAGTTCCACCTAGACCTGTCGAGCACAAACCACCTCCCGTGCTTTTCCCAAGACTGGCCAGCATCAGCCTGGCAGCTAGTGAGAGGTCAGCAGGGTGAGCTGCTGTCCTCTGGCTGGGGCTTGGGGCCCTTCCTGAGGAATTACATTCTCATGTTTTGGTGAAACAGGTCCCTGGCACCTCTGAGGGTCCCTAAATAATCAAAGGAACAAAACCAAAAACCAGGTCTCATTGCCTTGCCCTTCTGACAAGGCAAGCTCCTAACAGGAAAAATAAATGTTTTCCCGTGAAAAAAGGTACATTTAAAATGCAAATAACCTCCATCCAGTGTGCTCCCTGGCTGTCCACCCTCCCACCCTGAGCATTCCTTCCCTGTGACAGAGTTCTGAGGTAGAACTTTTTTCCTGTGCCTTGCCCTTAAAGTTGTTTCTTTCCTTGTGTAGGAAAAAGAAGGCCGGGGGCTGGACTTAAGCAGTGGTTTAGTGGTGACTTCGTTGTGCAAATCATCGATGCCAGCTTCCCAGAACAACCTGCGGCCCTAGGTCCCACCTCCAGGCAATGGGATCCTTTTGGGTTTTGCCAGCCCAATAGACTAGGAGAGGCTTTGGCTAATGATGACAGAATACACCTTGGAAAGACTGACTCTGTTCTGTAGTTCTTCTCTAATGTTAAGCATTGATGGATCGAAAAGAAAATTACCTGACCCTCCCTGGGACCTATTTCTCCTGAAACACCTTCTGTGCTCAGTTACCCTAGTGCTCCTCCCTGAGTAGACCTCTCTTTCAGGGGTTTCTGCATGAGGCTCCTCTGGAGCAAACCCAAGTCCAGCATTCCCCCTGCAGGGCCCCTTCCCCAGCTTACATGTTGGTGTGTCAGCATTTGGACAAACTGCCATTACGTACTGTCTCTGGCCCAGCAGGCTTTGCATGTTCTACCAGGCTTTTTGTGCACTAAAAGTTTGTTATATGCACCAAAGTTTCTATCCTCCAGCCTCAATGGGGTTTTTGACTGGGAGTATTTATGAGGGTGTTCCTCAAGCCAGCTGTCTGTCTTGAGATTTCTGAAGCTCCTGCTGTCACAGCTAGTCTTGGCTGTAGGAATCAATGGAGATGTCCTTTAGAAGCTACACATTCCTACTCTTACATTTGCAGTCCTTGTGTCACTGTCTTCTGCTGGTCCTGATGTAGTCCCACTGTTTCTAGAATTCTTTAAGCATTTTTGAAAAAATATTTTTATAGTCGAATACTCAGGCTAACCTAGTGGATATAATCTTGGAACTTCCATGATTACCCACTTAAAGATCAAAGTATTATATGCTGTATGCTTTTCAGTTGTCAGTGCTGTGAACACAGAAATGATTGCTATGTTGGTATTCCTATTTAACTGGGCACCAGTAAATATGTGTTACGCTGGAAGTAGACAAAAAGGCACCCTTTTCTTGTAGCATGTTAAGTGTTGGTGAGGATGTGCTAAAACTCTGTGTCAATCAGTTCATTCGCTTTCTGTTGGGGTAGGGGTGCTGCAGCACCTGGCAGAATCTTCCTACCGAGATGGTGCTGCACTGGTTTAGCTCTGCCCAAGCAGGAGACAGCAGACAGCTTTACCGGACCTGTCTGCTTTGACTTAGTACATCAGTGTAGTACAGTGTTTGACCAGAAAACACGGATGTCACATCCCTAGAAAGAAGAAAAACTTAGTTCATTTCCCACTGTGTACCTTAGTTTTGTTTTGTTTTTGTTTTTTGGTAAGTAAAAATAATCTGTACTGACTTTTTCACTTTTCTGGCTTAAAAGTATGAGCTCTCAGCTGTGTTTTTCTGTACTGACGTGGCACTTACTACTTTTGTACCATGAGTAAAATTTGAGGTGTTTTGCAAGAACCATCGTTACCTAAATGAGTCATCCCTCCCTTTACTACCATCTCTGCCATTGGGTCATGATGGCTTTGGTCTTTCAAGCCAAAGGCACTCTCAGAGCAAGCTTTTTAAAATACTGCCTCTCCTGACCTTGCTTTCCCTCCTTGCTTTTTATAAATGCGACTGCCCCCTGCAGGCCAGGCAGGTTGGAAGCACTTGGCGGAGACCTGTTGGTCAGTCTGCCTGGCTGAGAAAAGGCATGTGGACTAGTCCAAAGAAGAAATTATGAAAAATGAGCAAGAAGAAAGACAAATGGTTCTTTTTCACCCTTTTCCACTCAGAGAAAGATGCAAGCAATCCTGTAGTAATTCAACATCAGAAGCTAGGCTTTCTGATTTCTTTTAAAACAAACTTCTAATCTGTCTGCATCCACACAGCAACTTATACCATCAGGGGCCACTTCTGATGGGGCTTGGGCCTGGCCTGGGATGACATCCTGCCAGCCCCAGAGACAGCTGCATTCTCCTGCTGCTTCAGCCTCCTCACCCATAGGAAGTGGTGTGCACCCAAACGCACGGTCTAAGGACTAGGGAGGCATTGGCCTGAGCCAAAAGGTAGTTGTTAAAGCATGGTAAATAGGCTGTGTTTTAGGGTGTCAGAAACCTACTAAGACTTGCCTAAGATTTTGTTTCTCTAAAGCCTCCAGAGAAAATGTCCTTAAATTGAACTGTTACGGCTTAATCCTGAAATGACTGTAATTTATCATTCAAACTCTGAGACCTTGAGAGTAAAAAAGGGATGCTGTTTATATTTACAACAGAACAGCAGGCATAAGCTGGGCCTGGTTCAGGCTGGCACATGGATGTTTGACTTCCTGCCCCACCCCCATTTTGTATTGTGGTAGCCAATCTACAATCATCCCCCTTTTCTGTGGGGGTTACATTTCAAGACCCCCAGTGGATGCCTGAAGCCAAGATAGTACCAAACCCTATACATACTATGTTTTTTCCCATACATACATATCTATGATAAAGTTTTATTTATAACTAGGCATAGTAAGAGGTTAACAACAACAGTAATAAAACAGAACAGTTACAATACACTGCAATAAAAGTTATGTGAATGTGGTCCCTTTCAAAATACCTTGTTCTATACTTACCCTTGTAATGACATAAGATGATAAAATGCCCACGTGATGAGATGAAGTGGGGTGAATAACGTGGGCACTGTGGCAGCGTTAGGCTGTCTTCTCTCCATACTTGAGATGATCACCTGCTTCTGGACTGCAGTGGACCCCGGGTAACTGAAACCTCGGTAAGGTGGAACTACTGTAGTTACACTTTAATTCCCAGTTTTTAAAAAAAGAACTAAGAGGTACCCAGAAATGCCTTTGGCTTACCTTCAGAGTATGCTGCTCTGTGGTAGCAGAAAAATGAGCTCAGGAGGATTCCTCCCTGCTGCTGCCCTGCCCACCCCACCTGCTGTGCCAGCTCTACACTATGGCCACTCTCATTTCACAAACTACTACTAAATTTCACAAACTTTCAAAGTAGGTAACATGGCAATCTTAAGTTCAGCAAGATGATCTAAGTTGCCTAAAGTTTTCCTTAGACAACTAAATGGTTTATTGGCCAACTGAGAATAAAAAAGGGTGCTACTAAGTTTATGCCAGGACGAATGGCATACCCTGGGACTGCCCCGGCAAAGCAGGCAGGAAGCTGGTCAGCCTACTGCAGACTGAAGCCGGGGCTGGTGGTGCTGAGCGGCTCCAGAAATGGACTGCACTATAACAGGCACCTGGAACCTTCGTGCTGACTTACCCTGCAGGGTCCCGGAGTATATAAGCATCTACAACCATGACTCCCAATACCTTTTCCAAATAAGTTCTTCCATCTTTATTTTTATAAAAAACAAGAAAGTCTCCCCCAAGCACAGGACAACGCATCAGGCCAGGTCTTGATTCCTCCCTCCATGTCCCCTGTGCCTCATCAGCAGTGTCTCGGGGAAGCAGTCGGCATTGATGTTAGCTTTTCCCAAAGGGAGGATTACAAACAAGGGCTTGGGAAAGGGAGGGAAACCTGGAGAAGATTTTCATCATTGAGAAGTCACTTAAAAACCAATTTGTGTTAAATAACCAGAACGTCTGAAATGCAGGAAAGACCATGCTGTCAGAAATCATAACCCGCTTTCTACAAAGTCTCCCTACTCGTGACGTGTTGGCCTGGAGGAGGGTCACTGGAGTCAGACCGGTTTCATCAGCTTGCTCAGGGGGCCCAGAACAAAGACGGAGATAAAGATAAATAATGTTGCTTGTTAGGCTTACTCTATGGGGGTCGGGGATGCAGGTCTGGAGTCCTTGTTAGTGTATTTAGTGCTGGTGAGGCTGGGCCCCTGCCTTGGACACTGAAATCCTCTAAAGACAGCAGAGACAGAGCCCTGTATCCCCCATCACCTCCTGCTGAATAATGGAGATGGGGAGGGGGTCTCGGCCTTGGATCCTTGCAGCCAACGCATGTGCCGCCTTGGCCAAGCCAGAGGAAGGGTCCTGATTCCTTCAGAGTGTTGGACGAGAGCCCGGGTGATGAGCGGAGAGGAGCAAGCACAGTCCCTTCTGGGCTGACTCCAGGCAGGGCCCAGCCTCTGACTTGCAGGGCACCCTGCACCTGTGACCCAGCTGCAGCCTTCAACCCCAAGTGGGTGAGGCGCCTGTGGTCTAGGCGTAGCCGCCGGCCATCTGACTGGTGGCTGCATTGCTGCCTACTCCTCGCCAGGCCTGGAAGCTGAAGAAAGCACTCACTCCGTAGGCAATCATCGCTAAACATGAAAAGAACTGAAAGAGAAGATACCAAAGCTGAGTCGTCTGTAGCGTGGCACTGGGGATGGGGTGGGGTTGGGGGGGTACTATTATCAGCACCAAAAGGCCCCAGACAGGCACAGACTGTGAAACCTTGATAATGGCCCCTCACTTAACCAGAACGAGTTGTCTGGCAGCCACACCAACTCCTACTTAGCCATTCCCTCATTTAACAACTTTATGTTGGGGGAGACTGATGGGTGCCAGGTTCTGGGGGTGCCCATGTTACATTCTAGTGGGGGAAACCGTTTCACAGCCCCACAGGCAAGGTACATCAGGCTGTAATAAGGCAACCCGGGGCATTATGCTAAGTAAGAGTGACCAAGGGTGGGAGGGTGGAACTTTGCACCCTAGTACTCTGTCACCAGTTCATAGGTGCCCTATGCTAGCACCTGTGGTCCATCAGGAGCCCCGAGTCTCTATCCTGGTGACTGAGTTCACTGATTCCAAAACCATCCTCTCTCCAGGAAGAGTGAGGAAATGCAAGCCCTGCTCTAGATCCTGTGCTACCCTGGACTGTGTCTAGGCCTTCACCTCTCTGAGCCTCAGTTTCCTGGTCTGTCCCTGTCCTCACCAGAGGAGTCAGAGATCTCATGAGGACGAGTCTGTGCAGGGCCCCGGGGAGTGAGGTGTGGCAGATGTGGAGAAGATGCTGTTACTTCACTGACTACCATGGGGCCCAAGTGTGGGCTTCCTGGGAAAGCCTGTGAACCCCCCAAAATGCTTAACCCAAAAGGTTTTTCCATATGCCCTTTCATGGAGGGGTGGGGGTTGATAGTTTGATAGCTTTTAACACATTCTCCAAGGGGGCACATATCCCTAAGTCACTGTGGTACAACTGATTTACAGCAAAGTTCACAGTTAACCCAAACTTCCATTTGCCACCACAAAGTATTTCCCCGGCATCCTGATTCCTCAAGGTTTTACTGGTAATGACGCAAGACAAAGTCAGCTCAGCTTCGCTGAGACACACTGAGACTCAGAATGAGAGCTCGGGAGGTGGCAAGAGCCTGGCCGCAGCCCAGGGAACCATACTCACGGAGGCAGCTGCACGCTGGTTATACGGGCGAGTGCCTTTCAGGGAGGTAGGCTCAACCGCAGCAGAGCAGGTGATGAAGGCCGTGATGTAGAGAACGGTGGCACCCGTGTTAAATGCCATTAACTGGGGGGCAGGGAAGGGGAAAACAGGTGTAAGACATGAGACTCTCCAAGGAACTCTGGAACCCGGGTCCCACCAGCGCACCCCTTCAGTAGCCAGACTGGGCTGGGGCTCAAGGGAGGGAGATGGAGACATGGATCTTTCCCACTAAAAGGGCCTCAGAGGCAGCAGGCCACACACACAGGGTCAAGCCCAGAGGCCATCTGAGCAGGGAGCATAAACACACCTAAGGCTGACAGGTGGGGGCTGTGATGGGAAGGCCAGAAGCAATCTGGTCAGCGGCAGCAGCGACAGTCCCGAGGCAAAACCCACTGTCGATGGCTGGAGACTGAAACGCATCTGGGTGCACCGCACCGGCAGAAGAGCTTAGCGGGCTCCTCCTCCGGGACAGCTCAGGGCCACGCCCAGCCCTCCCTGCTGCCACTGCAGGCCTTGGCTCTGAGGCTGGCCCTGGGGGGAGTGGGCTCACATCCTCTCTACTCCCTGTGGGAGGAACCTGTACCTGCCTTTTGGCTACATCCTAGGTGCAAGACCCCATGTCTAACACCAGGGGCAGGGCCCAGCAGGATCCTGGGCCAGACTGGCAGAAAGGGCCCTCAGCTGCCAACCAAGCCTGGGTCCCATTTCCCCATCGCTGGACCCCTGGAGCCAGTTGAGTCTTAGCAGAGATGTCAAACTGGTGGCCCTCAGACATGTTTGTTCTGTAATTTTAATTATCAACATTCTATAATTAGATTTCATATTAAAACCTGAAGATTTAATATAAACCTTGCAATCTTAAAATACCAGGATTTGGCTCCAAAGGGCCTGCATTCCCATCAACAGTTGGAGCCGAGTAGTGGCGGCTCCCTTCCACAGACGGGGGTGCAGGCTCTCCAGAACCCCTCCTGGCCTTCTTCACTCACCTGTCTTGCCTGGGCCCTATAGGGGACTTGTAGCCTCATCCCAGAAAATCCCTATTTGGCAACCCTAATCCAGCCTCCTCTAGATGCAGTCAAGCCCTTCCTGCCCTACCTAATAAAATGTCTAGGAGGGTTCGCTACACTACCCTGGGAAAGGAGCCTCTTCCATCAACTATGGCTGGAGCCCCAAATCTTGTGCTAAGAGGCATCAGGGCCCCTCTATCTCCGGAGATTGATTTCTTTGAGGCTCCTGGGCCATAGGGCTGGGGCTGGACCCTGGCCAGGAAGCCAGGCCTCCCCCTCCTCACCCCAGGATTTTCCCTTCCAGCCCAGCGCCTGCCACAAACCCTGCCCGACTCCTGTCAGTGATGTCAAGATCTAACAAACCAGTTCTGTCTTGAGGATGACTCACGTTTCCTCAGTTTAAAAAGTCATTGAATTCCAAACAATGCTGCCCAGTTCCAGCCTTGCTTGCTTTACAGTCATGTGCCTCTCTTGCCTCTGCTCACTGAAAGCCTCAGACCCCAGCTGCAGGGGTTTTCCGGGTCAGGGAGAAAAAGCCCCAGCAGCTTTCTCCGTGTCTGGCCAGGATACTTCCCATGGATGCTCTCAGCCCTGTGTTCCGAGGAGACTGGCCTGAACAAACGTGGGTTGCCACCCTCTCCCAGGCTGCAGGGGCCTTACCTGGAGGCGGCAGGGTGGATGGATTTCACTGCATTGAGGCCTGACCTACACACTCCGGGCCGCCTGGGGAATTCCTGACCCCTCCATCCAGCCTCCAGGCCCAAGGCGGCCTCTCAGGGCCCAGCCAGAGTCTGACACAACCATTGCAACACGGGTTCCAATCCCGACTGTCCCCAAATAGGAAAAATACTCTAGATTCCCCAGGTCCTCTGATCTCTCCCTTCACCAGCCCTCACACTCCTGCTCTCTTCTCTGGAGAAAATCAAGCCTGTGTCCTCCCTGGTTCATAGCTCTCAGTGCCCAGAAAAACCAGACACGCAAATCATCAATCTTCACTCCCCCACCCAGCTCTGCAGGCCAGCTGAGGGCCAGTGAGGAAGGACTTCAGCTATGCCCCACCCCGCCACTCCCCACTTAGGGAAGGTCACATTGTCAGAGCCGCTCCCAGAAGCAGAGGAGCCAGTTGGCACCACCCCCAGGGCTCCCACTCAGACTCACCACAAGCGGCCAGGGTACCATGTACAACTTCGTGTGCAGCTGAAACAGGTAGAGGATGAAGATGACGATTGTCACCAGCCAGAGGAAGACAGCGACGAACATCACCCAGCCATAGGCCGGGTACAGGTGGTATGGGGTGTCAGCAATCAAGGCCCACACCAGCAGGCCCAGCACCTGCAGCGGGTGACACAGGGCCGGAGTGTCCCAGAGCCCCCACCACTCCGGCTGGAGGCCACAGACCAGAGGCCTGGGTGTAGTGGCTGACAGCATGGACTCAGCCAATGCTAGTTCTAAACCCTGCTCCCCTGACCAGCTGTGCGACCTTGGGCAAGCAACCTCTCAACTATAAAATGAGGGTCATAACCATACCTACCTCCTAGGGCTCCATCAAGGATCTATGACCCAAGTTCACATTTGTAACTTGGGCACAACAGAAGCATATATTTATATTTTTGCTGCTGGTACACTGTGCCTGCTCCAGCCCTGCAGGCCGAAGGGAATTCTACATGGACAGGTTGGCTGACCCTTTGTGGGGTCACCTAGGGAAACTTGGCAAAGTGGGACCCAACAAAGGGTGTGCTCTGAAGCAGGGCCCAGGGAGCACAGGGGAGGCCCAGAAGCAGCACCTCACCTGTGGCCACCCTGGCCTGTCCTGGACCTCTCCCACCCACTTCCTTGCTGGCCAAGCTACCCTAGAGACTGGGAGGCCTCTCTTCTCCAGAAGGGCGTTCTCTGGGAGCCCTGGGAAGCCGGGTGTGTCTCAGACCAGCCGCTGAAAGGAGGGACTACCATCAGGCTTTGGAGAAAGGTTCCTCTGCTGATGAGCAGAGCTGTCCCCCTTCTTCCCTAGTGAGCAGTCAGGCATATGGCACCAGGGCTCAGGGACCTTGCCATCAGCTTGAGGATGAGCCAACCATCAGTCAGATCATACAGAAGTAGCTCAGGGGAGAGACCCACCTTTAGCTGCTGGTTTGGGGACGAAAAATTCTCCTGGCTGCAAGTTCCTAGACGAGACCCCGGAGGGCTGGCACTCACCCCACGGCACAGTCAAGCTGGGTGCCTCATAGGCACCCCCACCAAGGACCAAAAGGGAAGGTTCTGTATCTACCCCATGGGTAGGGGCAGAACAGGAATGACCTTTGCTGGGGGCTGGGAATGCAGTAGTCCTCTGAGCAGTGGGGTTTACTGTACCAGCCCATGAAACAAGTTCTCTGGCCCCTTGTTCCCATTAGGGTGTGGGTTCACAGGAGGAGGGAGGGGTCCAGCGGCTCCTGTAGCTTCTGGAGATGAGGCCTCTCCAGTGCCCAACACTGCCTGGCACACAGTACCTGCTGAATAAATATGTGCTCAGGAGCTAATGGGCCTCAGCACCCTTGTCTGTGAAATACGGTTGGGAACCCGACCTGCATATTACTAAAAGAGGCAGCAGCTATGAATCCGTAAACCTGCTCCTGGACTAGCTTCCCTCCCCCCAGGGAAAGATCTCAGCCCACAGTGGGCGTGGGAGCCCACACAGGTGTCTGCTCTCCCTTCCTGCAGAGTCTGCACCTGCTACCCCCCCCCACCGGCAGGGGGCTAAGTCCCTGAAACCCTACCCCACCCCACCTTGCCCCCTACTGGCCTCACCTGGCCCACCTGCGCTCCTCTACTACAGACAGGCTGGCAGTGGCCCGTGGGGCCCACTCTGCAGGCAAGGAAGGTGGGACAGGTGTCAGGGCCTCACCAGCAGTCACACAAGCTGGGGACAGAGCTCTTACCAATGAGGACCACAGCCCTCCACCCCATGACCTTTTACCACCCATCTATGACACCCTGCCCACAACAGACACATCAGGAGGCCAAGAGCCTCCGGAGCTGGGTGTGGTCATGGTTCTGAAGGAGAACAGATGTCCTGGGGCAGCATGGCACAGAACCATCCAGGTGAGAACCGGGCATGATAGGGCCAATTAGCATTTCACTTAAAGCAGGGTCCTTCCAGGCCTCCCTGCCATGGTGTTGCCTGGTTCCAACTATCTGAAAGGAAGTCAGAAAATGCAGTGAACTGAAAATCAGGAACAGACCAATTTGGGTACACCTATCCATGAGCGGCATATTCCTCACAGACTCAGTCATGATAACCCCCGAATGCTCTGGGCCCCTCCCCTTTCATTTCACTGATTCCCCCAAAACCTTCTCATCAGTCAGGACTATTTATTATACCCATTTTCCAAACAAGCTCAGAAGGAAATGTGCTGGTGGTCACCTGTGGGTAAAGGGCAGGGCAGGATTTGAACCCAGATCCATCCTTCTCTGGAACCTGGGCCACTGAGAGTTATTCAGTGATTTGGAAAAAATGAGGACACTTCAGCCAGCTCCAGGGGCTAGGCCAATTGGCAGCAGGCTCTCCGTCTCTGCCCTGCCCTCCAGCCCAGCCCTGGCTCCCAGATCAGCAAGCAGCCCTAGGAGATGAAGCCGCTGGATAGGCAGTGGGAATTTCTAGCGTTCCTTCTGGCCTTGCCACCTGGTCCTGTGCCCAGGGAGTCACCTCGGTTTCTGCCCTAGAACAAGGAAGGTCCATTCTTCCATCCGAACCAGACAGACTGGTTTTTCCTGGCCACTCCCCCTCAGCCCAGGACCCTAGGGATCCCCTGCTCAGAACAGGGAACCCCCACATTTGATGGCCCTTCTGCTGGGCCCAGGCTTCATCTCCAGAAGCTATAGGAGCTGCTGGACCTCTCCCTCCTGCTGTGGACCCACACCCTAGTGAGAACAAGAGGCCAGAGGACTTGTTTCATGGGCTGGTATAAACAGTAAACCCCACTGTTCAGAGGATGGGGGCAGCAGTAGGTAGCTGTGCGTGGAAAACAGGGCAGAGCCCAGGCCCCTCTGACCAGGACAGCCATCTTGTAACTCCAAGACACCCTCTAAGCACAAGCCCTGCCTTCATTCATTCAACAAGTTACCTATTGAGCACCCACTGCTTTGTGTGCTGAAAAACAAAAGCCCTGCTCTCATGGAGCCCCCACTCTACCAGGGGAGCCAAAGTAAAACCCAATACACTGAAATCCAAGTGGATCTCAGAAGTCATACAGGAAAAAAATCCAGCTCAGAAGGAATACGGGGACGGGCAGTGGGGTCACCTGCAATTTTAGGTAAGAGGCCAAGAAAGATCTCACTGGAATATGTGAGCAGAGATAGGGGTGGGTGGGCAAGGTGAGGGAGGGAGCCATGTGGGGAGGCTTAGAACTAGGTGCCTTCCCCTCTAGGTCCCTGTCTCTTGCCTACATGTTCATATGTGCCTGTGTTTCTTGGTAGGTGTCTACACATACATCTGCATGTCTTATTCATGGAGCGCACACGCACACACACACACACACACACACACGCGCGCAGAAACAAACCTCACCCCCTCGCCATCGCCATTTCTAGACTCTGAGTTCTCTGCAATTCCTCCTCAGGCAAGCACTACAGATAAACAAAGAGAACTATCTGGAAATCTAAAGGCACAGCCTACCCACCTTTTTTTTTCTGAAAACCTAATATTTCCAGTTAGGCATTTTCACACACTGATATTTGTCCCAGAACCTCTGCACCTCCAAAAGAATTTCTAAGCAATTGGATAAACAGAACTATTTTTGTTAAAATCACCTGTAGGATCAGAGAGGAGAGATTTGTCACAGATGCCAGACCATGAGGCATTCCTCATTAGGGTGGCCCCAGTCCAGGGGCTGGTGTCCTTATAAGAAGAGGGAAATTGAACACAGAGACAGACGGAGAAACTCCATTGAAGATGCAAAGACTGGAGTTATGTATCTCCAAACCAAAGAGTGCCAAAGATTGCTGGCACCCACCACCAGAAGCTAGGAACAGATTTTCCTTCAGAGCCTCCAGAAGGAACCAGTCTTGCCAACAGTTTGATTTTGGACTTTAGCCTCCAGAACTGTGAGAAATTTCTATTGTTTGAAGTCACCCATTTTGTGGTATTTTGTTATGGCAGCACTAGGAAATTAAAAATCTTTCTTATTCTACTCTGAATCTGCAGACAGATGGCATGATTTGATTTAACTGTACAATGTTAGCATCAGTTCTGAGGGAATGTTGGCCTATTAACCCACTGGGTTCAAGGTCTGGCCCTGCCAACAGAGTAGCTGCATGACCTCAGGCAAGTTGCTAAACCTCTCTGTGCCTCAGTGTCCTCGTGTTCAAAATCTGATAATGTCACAGGGTAGTTCTGAGGTTAAATGAAGTAATATAAGAAAGGAACTTAGACCAATGCCCAATATGGGCTTAACACTCAACATATGCTCTAGTGTCATTAGCATTCTCAGAGGTTAGAACGTGGGTTTCCAGTCCATTCTCCATGCCTGGTTTCCTGCGGCAGTACAAGCCGGTGCAGTTCCTAGGGGTGTCAGGACCCGGTGAGATAACGAATGTATCTAAACTGAAGTTCCAGTGCTCAGCAGATAAGGGTCGGATGCCCATGCAGGCCCCGCCCATCCTTCAGATAAGGCAGCTAGGGAGTAGCCCCAGTCCAGCCCAGCCCAACCCTCGGGCGCCTCCTGGAGCTGCATGCCCTCCGCTCCTCACAGGCCCAGGGTGCCAGGCAGAACCTTTCATCCCTTTAGACCTCAGTCTTCCCTTCTGTACAGTGGGAGCAGGGACAGTGTTCTCAGTGAGGCCTGACACCCCTCAATGCAGGCCTCAAGGGGAGTGCAGGGCACAGCCCTGTCTCCCTTGTCTGGGAGGGACTCCTCCAATCCCATGAGCAGGAAGCTAGCTCCTCTCCTGCCCATCCCAAGCCTCCTTTCAATTCTCTCCTCTTCCTGGGCTGGGTCAGAAGCTTGTAGATTCACTGTGTGGTCTTGGGAGAGTCACCTAACCTTTCTGGTCTGTTTCTCCATCTGGCATGTGAGAGGGTTGGGCAGGTACCCCAATTCTGTCACCTCAAAAATGTGTCATGCAGGTAAAATGATGTGAAGGGAAAGCAGAAGCTGTAGTGGTCACTGAACGGCTATGAGGGCTGTCAGACTGTCAGGGGGCTGGAGAGCATAAACCCCAGAGCAAGGGAACCGTGGGAAGGGACAGCACCTCAGAACCTGGGGGTTCCAACGCAGCAGCTGACAAGGTCACATGACTGAGGTGGACTAGGTGGGGGTCTGTGGACATGAGAGCAGCCTGCTGGTATCTGGGGAACA